TTCATGGAGACTGAGTGTTAATGATAGGGATGCAAGGAGAGGAAAGTCCATGTGGTACGCCCCAACAACTTTTGTAAAGGTTGATGGGTTGGTGTTGAAACATTTCATTGAAGAAGACTCATGGGGAGAAAGGAATGGAGAATGGATGGAAGAGTTGGCTCTGGCTGAAACCTACAGACTGACTGACGATCCAGTAACAATTGAGGTAGGAACGAAGTCAATAGATCAACACCTGCTGACAATGGGGAGAATACACTATCTCGTCAACTCACTATTACAAGTACAGGCTGACAATAAGGAAGAGGTAGTAAAGGCAGACGAGATAATGTTGGGGGATGATTTCGAATTTGATAAAGAGATGCAAGGAGAAGAGTTTGAACAAGGAGAGATCTCGGAGGATTTTCGGGAAGAAGAATATGATGGGTTCCACCTAGAAATGAGACTTATTTTCTCGGGGTATAAACGTGAAAGAGATGTTGATAAGAAAACTCTTCGTATGAGAGATCATTACTTAGTGAGGGGAGGTCATCTCTTCATCAGGGACAAAAGGGGACCTCCTAGGAGAGTCATTTGTGGCAGGAATCGGCAGATCGATGTGATAACAACGCTTCATGATGGACCCGTAGGAGGTCACAAAAGTTTTGCCACTACCATCAAGAAGGTGACCGAGCTATACTTTTGGGAGGGCATGTACGGAATGATCCGAAAGTACTGCGAATCGTGCGTTCTCTGCCAAATCAGATCTCCAATCAGGTGCAAGGAACCCCTACATCCGAGATATATCAAGGATGTGGGGGCAGTGATCCATCTGGATCTCCTTGCAATGCCATTGGGACTTGGAGTCTATAACTATATCTTTGATGCGCGAGATAACCTTACAGGATTTGTTGATGGAAAGGCCATCCGAACCAAGACAGGAGCAGTCTTGGCAGATTGCATCAAAGAATATTACCTCCGGTATCCTTTCGTTGTGGAGCTTACAATAGATAGGGGGTCTGAGTTTATGTGTGGGGAAGTGAAAGAGTTGTTGGACAACCTAGGAATTATTGTCAAGTACACGACCAGAGCACATCCGCAAGCGAACGCACCGGTTGAAAGAGGGCACAGTACGATCACCAATTTGCTGGCGAAGTGGACAACAGGGAAGCCAAACCTGTGGCCCAAGTTCCTAAGAACGGTGTTTTTTGTCGAGAACATCACAGTCAAGAGAATCACAGGTTATGCCCCTGCAACCCTGTGGTATGGAAGGCATGCCACGTTTCCTATAGAGAGTTTCTTAAAGACGTGGCGAAGGCAGGATCTCGAGAATGATATGCCTCTGGAGGAATTGCTTGACATCAGGGCCAGGCAGGTCAGTATTACTGAAGAACGGATACAGGAAGCAGTGGAGAGCGTGACTGACAGTCATGGAAGGGACAAAGAAAGGTGGRATAGATCTCCGCGCGTAAGGGATGAACCATTGGAGGTTGGAGAGATAGTAGTGTTGTATGACTCCTCACTCGAGAAACAATGGTCGAGGAAGCTGGACAAGAGATGGTTGGGACCCTTCAGAGTCAGACGCAGAGGGAATTATGGGGCTTATGAACTGGAAGAGATGGATGGAACACCAAGGAAAGACTGGATTTCCGGATCTAGGCTAAAGAAGTTCAAAATGAGGCAAGAGCTGAGTTGATAAAAGATGAAAGAAAGGCCTGATGATCTTGTGGAGCCTTTGTTGCGGCATTTCTTTTACGAACAGTCTGTTGTTAACCAACTGCTGACTTTTTCCTTGATCTTTCACTCCCTTTCCTTTTCTGTGTGCAGGTGTGACCCAGGAAAACAGGCAACCATGACACAGAAGGGAGGGATGACGGGTCCTTCCAGGATAATTCATGGAAGAGAAGGGCGAAAAAAGATGCAGCTGGTAATGAAGGACTCCAAAGGAATGTCTGTCTACAAAGAAGAGGACAATCTTAGGATCTTCCTGAGAGAATTCGAGGAGCATGCCTTCAGAAGAGAGTGGAGTACTCGGACCATGCTCGAACAGGTGGCAGGACTGGGGGAGTGCAATGAAGTGATAGATGAGGTTGCCTTGGAATGTTTGGGATGGTTGGATTTCAAGGCTGGTATGTGGGCGAAATATGGGGACTTGGCAAGGGATGAGATCGAAGATGACATCAGTTTCGATGACACAAACTTGGAAGATTTTGAGGACAGCATCAACCTTTGTTCAGAGAAAAGGAGGTGGGGTGAACGGAAGATGATGGAGCAAGTGATGAGGAGGATAGCACCAAGGGAGTATGAGGCGGTGAAGAGGATCAAGGAGGAGTCAGACACCAGGGGGAGCTTCCTTGTCAAGATGAGAAAGGCCTATCCCTTGGAGGTGCAGAGACAGAAGAAGAAACAGTTACTTCAAGAGCAGGGATTGTGGATTGGCAAGAGGGGAGAGAGGATAGAAAGGAGAGCTCAAAAGGAAAATAGGAAAAATATCACGACCTCTCAGCAGGGGAATGATGAGGACAGAGCTCAAGGTGGAGATGATTCAATAAAAGAAGACAAGACACAAATTGAAGAGCATGATGGTAAGGAAGTAGAAGGCAATGGCAAGGCAGGAGAGGTGAAAAAGGGAGACGAGAAGGTGAAGGGAAAGGAGAAGGACAGTGAGGAGAATGAAATGGCAGGACCTTCTGGAACTGCAGAAGAGCCTACTTCCAATGAGCCACCAAAGGAACGAGGCTCAAGGAGATGGACAAAGGAAAAGAGGCAGAGAAAAGAAAAAGAAAACAGGGAATGCAGGAATTGGGTTGTGACCTCGTTAAGAGAAAATGAGTTGCCTTCAGACGCACACTGGAGCTTGAAATTGGAAAGGAAGATAGTCTCTGAAACCGTAATCAGCTCCAAGCTAGCAACTGGTGTGGACAGATTGATCAGGTTGAATCAGCTACTCAGGGACGATTGTGAATGGATCCTTGAGGGGGAAGCAGAAGTAGAAAGCAGGTTGAGAAAAGTGGTGGAAGAAAAGAGAAAGGAATTAGAAGTTCTCATTCAGGAACTTCAGGACAGGATGAAGGAAAAAACAGAATTATTCACACAGGGAGTAGCAAGCCATGTCCATGAAATCCTGAAGGAAATTCAGAGGTTGAGGGCAAGAGAAGAAAAAAGGGACCTGCAGTAGGCAAAGGTGGAAAAAGAGATGGAAAGTTTGAACACAGAAATGGAAAAGGCAAGGATTGAACGAGGAAAGCTGGAATTGAAGGTGGAGGCACTAAGCATTGCTCTTGAAAATAAGAGTAAAGAGGCGGAGACAGAAAAGATGGAGAAAGAGAAGTTGAAAAAAGAAGTTGGTAAGTTGGAGGTAAAGGTCATGGAACAGGGAAAGGCAATTGAAGAAAGCAAGAAGAAGCTGGAAAATGAGAAGTGGAAGAAGGTGGAAGACCTTGAAACAATCAGAAGAGGATATTCAGGAAAAGGTTGAAATGGAGGATGCTGGGAAGACTGAGGACAAAAAGAAAAATCCAAGGATGGAAGGAGATAAAGAAGGACTTAAGGGCAACGATCAGAACAAAGGATTGATGGTAGGGGTTGTCACCTTGCCTAAAAAGGATACTGGGGAAACGTCACTCACAAATAACAAATTGGGACAGGAGAGGAAGAGGTCTTACCTCAAACATTAATTGGGGCTGCGTCACAAGATGTCCCATCGTTTGCAAAGAGATCAAAGGAAGAAGAGAAGAAGTTATGTTAGTACTGTATGAAGGGAGTCCACAGGAGGGATGATTGTCCTGGTTTTAGGACAGATAAAGAAAAAGGGTTAGTTAGTCTCGATAAGAACAACAGACTCATCGATAGGGAGGGGAATCTGATTAAAAGAACCAAGCAAGGGTTCAAGGTTCAGTTGTATGAGCAGTTGGGACTCACTTTAGAGGATTAAAATAAGACAGTTTTGATTTCTTTTAGACCGGTATTGTATATTAGGGACTAAGGGTGAAGGAGACAGTATGGTGAAGTTGGTATTTACTCCTCTTATGAGCATCGGATGGAGTATTTTTGTCTAGGTATAGTGCTAAAGATTTGAGGATCATGTACATTATTCTGACTCGGCGTTTTGTACTCTAGTAGTTGAGGGTAGATCAAACGTATGGTTCATTTTCTATCTTGAGGATCTGTGCATCAGTTTGGATCAAATTTTGGACATATACTTTTGTATTCAGTTGAGTTTCTCTATCCTAAGTTACTTGCGAGGTTTACCTATGGGGAACTTGAACACTTTACACTTTCACAATTGAGTTGGTCCAGTGTTTGATATTTGTGGATAAAATGTGTACTTTGGATGTATGTGTAGTCTATGTTGTCAAATCTTGAACTAGGCTGCTCAGAAAAGCGCCTAAGTATTCAAGAATGACAAGAGTAACTGAAATAAGATTTGCAAAGTTTGAAAGTTGTTTTGCACTATGATGAGTTATTTATATTTATTTTTGAAGCAGACCCTAAAAAGAGGTATGAAAAAGTCAAAGTTATCTTACATTTGAGAAAACCCTCTGAATCAGGAAGATGTATGTTATGAATGAAATGGATGTTTTTTTTTTCTGCCTGCTGACAAGACAAAGGGTCAAACACCTACTTTTGTTTTCATTATGGATATTTTGGTTGACTTTTCTATTTGAAAAAGATCCCCGAGACGTGTGCCTATCCAGCCTGTGATCGAGGTCTGGTAAGCACGGCTCCTAAGTGGCTCTGACGATGCCCCTCGATCAGAGACAAGTTTTTTAATCATGTTGAATCATTCTTATTGATATTGCTTCTTTCATATATATATTCAATGGGTTTGTTCACCCTTTCAAAGACAACTGACGAGGGCAGATGAATTTTATCTGGTCAAATTTCAATTTCATATGTGTATTTTTAAAATAATCATCGTTCATCCACTTATGGAGGTCAATCTGAGGGACTTAAAATTACAAAGCCTATGGTGAAAAATTGGCATCGTTGGGACGTAACTCCCAGTGTGGGCTGCTGACCAAGTATAACCAGGCAGCGGGCCTTCCGATTCCAGCCTGGGACTAAACTTGAGGGGAAGGATTCCCCAATGATAGTATCAAGTTCAGGTAGATATCGGGGGGATCGAGAGTCAGGTCTAGGTATTTGATAGGAGGTAATCATCCTGTGTTGCGTAACCAATATAGGTACCACCATTAGATTAACAAACATGGTGGACCACAGATCAGGCCTAATCAACCGACTGTGGTGGGTTGAGACCAACGTTGTCGATCCCCTCGCATTAGACTTCGGGTGAGACGGTAAAAATTGATTAAGGTTGAGACCCTCGTCCTAAGGGTAGGATTCATTTATGATTCCTAACTCCTCGGACACCCAACGAGATCCTGGCAATAAAGTCTAAAGTTGAGGGGAGAGGCTATCATCATCTTCCTTGGTGACCTCTGTAACTGTAGTACAGATCCAGTATCCCCACTTTGAGTCATATGGAATAATATTTCTTTGGTATTGCAATTGTTGGTATGTGGGAGACCCAGGTTGAAATCCTGGCAGTATGGACGCGCCAAGAGAGGTAGTGAGGGTCTTCAAGCCACAACTTCGTCCAGGAAATCGAAATTTGACAACTTGTCGCATCAGAAGGCCTTTGTTTGCATTTAGATTCCCCAGCGACGGAAACGTCGCTTAATGGGGTCAGGGAAGACTGTCGGAGCTGATACCCTTACAAGGGTATCCGCTCATGATATTGCGGTCGACACAATGTCAACGCCAATTGTTAAAACGGAAACGGCTAAAAACAGAAACTGGGGCAAACCCCTCGACCATTATGGTCATAAAAGCTTAGTAACCGCCAGGGCTAAAACACGGCACGCGCGGACAAGAGTAGGGGGTTAAGAATTTCGAATGCTCGTCTGCATCACCGAGGCGCATGCTGAGCCGACGAGAGTTAGTGGATTAAAAGTTAAAAATAACCGCACGCGTCATTCCAACGCGCGCAAAGACTGCAAAGGGGTTAGTAAATAAAAACTCCAACCACAAGGTCGGAAGGTCGGTTAAAACGGAAGAAAGTCGCGCGGGACGGGGCTACGGTCTTTCTCAGGTGGATGACAACTGAAAAAGAGTGATCGTTTCGACTCGAGTCCGCGAACGTTGAGTATGTCGGAAAGAGCAAAGCGGGAAACCACTCCCCGCAGGATAGAATATGGAAAAAGAAGCCTAGCCTGCTGAAACAGGCTGTGATGGCTTACAATGGCCTGGATTTTCCTTACGGTAAGGCCGTTGGCCTTATGGACTGATTGGATTGAGGCTTGTACTTTACTTAGGGCAAATTCGCTCCTAGTAAAACCGAACTAGAAGCAAGCCCTGTAGGTACAGGCGCTGACTGATATGTAGAGGATCTTGGGATCGAATCCGGCTTGCCTCCGGGCTAGCTCCTTTTGCTAGCTACAGGAGGCGGAGCCTATCTTTTTTTACCCGCCCTGGGACAGGCAGAACTCGAACCCGCAACCTCTAGATTAGGAATGGTTAGACGAGGCCGTGGGACAGTGGACACAACGAGTTAGTTAGAAGTTAGTAGTTTTCTTTTTTTTTTTTCTTTTTTTTTTTCTCTCTTCTAGATTTGTTACTAGCAGATTCACTAAGTGAATCTACCCCAGAAATCAGGGTCATTTCAGATAGTGATGTGGCTAAAAATGCTTACCTGCGGAACGACGAACGTAAATCCGACGACGACACCGACATCAACAACTACGACGAAGACGATTACAGTAACGACACAGAAAAAGAATAGAAGAAAGGTAAATCTCACGATCTTGGGTGACTAAAACTATTACTATTACTACTACCACTATTACTACGGATGTATACATACGAGTGTGTGTGTGTGTGTATATATATATATATATATATATATATATATATATATATATATATATATATATATATATATATATATGCGTGTGTGTGTACGTGAGTGTGTGTGTGTATCCGCGTGTACTAAGTGCGCGACAGACGACTTGGCTACTTTCATCTATAGGACGAGCAAAATCGGATGAATCTACAACTACAATACGGAAACATACATCAGTATATGTGTGTGTGTGTGTGTGTGTGTGAGAGAGAGAGAGAGGGGGGGGGAGACAATAAGTCTTCAACCTTGACCGACAACTAAGTCTCCAACACCGCACATCACCGCACGGTACTTGGATCGACAGAGTAAGCAAATCAAAAAGTGTGAGTGTATATTTCCACGTTTCAGCGGAAGATTCATTTCGTTTTCGCTCATCCTATCGATAGAGTGTGCGTGTGTGTGTGTGTGTATGTGTGTGTTGTCATATTCACTACACACCACTCCACTGAGGAAAAACACGACTGTCCTAAACTGTTTCGTAGGACTTCAGCAACCCATGAGTAGGATTCCTTGTCTCCGATCTACCCCTTTGTGTGTGTGTGTGTGTGTGTGTGTGCACGTTGAGGATACAGAGTGATGAATGTCCTTGAGGTCGGCTGTCTGTTGGTGGAGTGTTATCTTCTGGATGATTAGTGCGAGAGAGAGAGAGAGAAAGGTTGGGCGAATACACACAGTGAGGGAGAGAGATAGTTCTTCTTCTTCCTCTTCTCAGTCCACCATCTCCTTCTCCCCCCTTGTGATATCTGACTTCACTGCACCTACAGACTACAAAAGAAAAGAGACAGAGCTTCACGACACCAGATCCAGACATCGTCACCGTGTGGTGGTGCCTGCCTCCTCCATCCTTCCCCATTCTCTTGTAAACTAATCCCCTTACTTCCTTTTTGATTCCACACTTACCTAAAAAGATATGATATCTTTGAATATGAAGTTTTATTCTATGAAAAAGGATACTCAGACAAACAAATAATAGGGCGATTGCGGGAGCTCTGCCGGAGTTCAGGAGAAACTCTGGAGGCAGGGAACCTTAAGGTGCGCGTCACATATTCTTTTCTCATATACCCTTAAAAGGCTACGCCCTTCTATTGTCTGCATGTGTAATTGTGTGACATACCGTTTATTGTTTTCTTCGGGACTAAGCATATGAAATATGAAAAATACTATATGATTGAATTGAAAATTTGTCTGAAGTCAGAAAAAGGAACCCAGGAAAGAACCGAGAAGGAACTTAGCCTGCATGGTCTTGAGAAAAACAAAGGCATTATGATGGAGGCCTCCATTGGGGTCGTCAAACTGCCTGCATGGAATGACTAAAAGGGTACTCGCCGTGCGAACTACCCAGCCATCCACCTAACTAGTTAACTTTTGACATGCATACATTGAAAACAGGAAGATACCGTGCATCTTC